ATTTTTCACATTCAGCGCAATTTAACACGTTACTTAAGATGAAACCATTTTCAACGTTACGAAACTCATGTTTGCCCTTAGAGCTAAAGAATGCGCTTTTGAGGCATAGTGTGCATTTATAATAATAGAAAATAAAACCACAATTCTCCATTCAATTTCTTAAGTTATATGTGCTTTCAGTCAGGTTCCGCCCTATAAGTCTTCATGTAGAGCAGGTTCTGTCGTTACTTTTGCACCATTCCTGCGTTATTTGCACATTCCTGCGTTACTGTATATATTCGCCAACAAATACAATACCAAATAACCACCTACAGGCGACACAAGAGCCTGTTTCCTGCTTAATTATATAGTTCATGAATATTTCTTATTGCCTTCAAGAGTGTCGAGTCCTGTAGTTCATAAAACATTCTCTAAACGAACGGTCCCTATTCCACGTGACTTTTGTAGTCTGTGCGGATAACAGACGTTACAGATTTATTTTCTGCCATATTCTTTTTTTACATATTTTATTACGTTTTTATGGGATAAAGTGTAGATTCTAGAGTGAGGAAGCCATATTAAAAAAAAATCTTGAAAGAAAATCATTATTTTTTCGTTTTGTGGAACCGCGTGCATATGTGATTTTTCAAATACGTGGTTCCATTTCCTTAAAAACCTCTGATCCCCTAAAACATACTATGTATACACGTGTTACCCCACACTTTGTCCGGTTACCAAATAATGAAATACATTGTATTAAAAAAGTTATGGAAGGATAATAAAATCATTTGCATTTTTGTTTTTCTTTCAAGAAATGTCATGTGTTATTAGCACTGCCTGATAAGCACACTGTCGTTGTACAAGAATTATTCATATCTCCATTTACCAACTGTGGCCCTCAATCACAATTCCAAATGTTGACCATTAACTTCAATAAAAGCTACATACAGTTTTCCACCATAATTAGTCAAGGGAATTACCCTACCCTGATTAATGTCAGTAAAAAACGGGTTATATACCTCAAATAACATCCCCTGTGGTGACATTTTTTTGTCTCTCATATCAGCCACATTTTAAGTTAAAAATTAAATTAAAAAATGTTAAATAGCATTGCGGCGGTATACATGCATTTCTATAGAGTGCGGGTTTTTAAAATGTTTAAGTACTTTTAACGCTAATGGTATATAGTAGTTTACACGGAAGTTTCTTAAGATTGGAAACAAATACAAATTAGAAGTAAATAAAATAATAACAATGTAAATATGCTGGCGAAAAAAAATGGTTCCGCTGGGGCTCGAACCCAGGACCTCTCGCGTGTGAAGCGAGCGTGATAACCACTACACTACGGAACCAAGTTAAGCAAACTGGTACAAATTATGTATAAGAATTATATATTTTTTTGAAGAGATTACTAACTGTATTTTTTCTTATTTTTGTTTTAAATTTGAATATTTCAAATCATGAAGTCAAAGGCAACTTTATTGCAAGTCCTTTCCGTATACTTTGCATGACAATAAGACAGATCTGTCCAACAACTTTTATACACTATAATCGTAAAATTAAATGGAGACAACTGCAATATCGTACCATAATTGTATGACAAAAGTTACTTCCCTTTATGGTGTTTAAATGAGCCATATTGCGGTATAACCATATAAGGCATTGTATAACTTACTACATGTATAAAACAAAACATGGGTGCTGTCGGACCCCGATTAAAAAAATGAGGTTATTTGCTTAAAAAAATAACATTTATGACAAAAAAGGAACTTCGAAAGTGGGAAATTTTGTTCATTTATTCTGGGACATATACTATTTGAAAGAGCCTGATTAAAAAAAACGAAAAAAGACGAATACATAATAATTTAAACAATGTGAAACAGATTAAATATAACTTATTTGAAGCCAATTAAACTAAAAAACGAACAAAAACATCTCTGGATAACAATGATAATAAGAAACAAACGCAGGCTTTGTTTTTGTACATGAGTGCACGGACTTCAATTGTCAATTAAAGTCCATGATGAGTGACAAGGAAAAATCAACATCTTTCTCGTCCCCTGGCACCGTCAGTTTGTACATTTATGACAAAGAAAAATCAACATCTTTCTCGTCCCCTGGCACCGTCATCTTTCTCGTCCCCTGGCACCGTCAGTTTGTACATTTATGACAAAGGAAAATCAACATTTCTCTCGTCCCCTGGCACCGCCAGTTTGTACATTTATGACAAAGAAAAATCAACATCTCTCTCGTCCCCTGGCACCGCCAGTTTGTACATTTATGACAAAGAAAAATCAACATCTCTCTCGTCCCCTGGCACCGCCAGTTTGTACACGTATGACAAAGAAAAAAGCAACATTTCTCTCGTCCCCTGGCACCGCCAGTTTGTACATGTATGTCAAAGAAAAGGCAACATTTCTCTCGTCCCCTGGCACCGGCAGTTTGTACATGTATAACAAAGAAAAAAGCAACATTTCTCTCGTAACCTGACACCGTCAGTTTGTACATGTATGACAAAGAAAAAGCAACGTCTTTCTCGTCCCCTGGCACCGGCAGTTTGTACATGTATGACAAAGAAAAAAGCAACATTTCTCTTGTCCCCTGGCACCGGCAGTTTGTACATGTATGACAAAGAAAAAAGCAAAATCTCTCTCGCCCCCTAGCACCGTCAGTTTGTACATGTATGACAAAGAAAATAAAAGTATTCAACCTTCAAAACTAATTTAGACCATAGCTAGGACATGATTTAAAACTTTTTTTTCGTTTCATTTTAAATGGTTTAATTTATATAATTCCACACATGATGTTGGAACTAATAAATCAACTCTTACCCTGCTGAATTTGTGTAATTGATTTACCTGCTTTAAATAAGGAACAGTCCATTTAAAGCTTAAAGAATTTTAATATTAAAAATGAGCTACCGACAGTATATATACAGACAGCCAGGTCAGCACTTGCAGGCTGACCTGGCTCTATCCTTGTGGCAAATTTTAAATATAAGGCTTATCACAGTTTTAGCAAGCTAAGGATTAATTAATGTTGCAAATCAGTAATAAATATTAAATTAAGGACAAACATACACTATTCGGATGGCACTGATTCTCTACATTGGTTATTCATGATATGTACGTATTTTTTTTTATTTTCAAGATTATCTATCAACATGCATTGCATTAAAATAAAATCAAGCGTTTTATTGACATCACACGTGCCAAAACTCGCAAACCGTGGTAACTGTAGCGTTCAGTATTGACTGAGAAATATAATGTTCTTTATAAATGTTTATAGAGCACAATAACTGCATATGGTTTCAAATTTTAAGTCCGTACATATAAAAGTACTTTTCTTTAAAATGAATTTTATGAAGTGGCCAATTAGAAAACGTGGTGGGGTTTATAGCTAAGTAAATTTGCCGCCACAATTTGGTCAACTTCGCATTTTACACTCTTTTTTTACTTCTTACCAAAGATCTAAAATGAAATAAAATAGAAAACAAAGACAAAATTTCCTTTTTTCTTTTAATTATTCATTTTTTCTCATAGCTTTTCCATATGATAATAAAGTGCAATATGATGACATCTTAAAACATTTTTAACTTTTCAAAAGTCATAATAATTATATCAAAATATTTCTTTAAAACACAAAGATAATAGTTTAAAGTACAAATAAAATACTATATAATACTATAAAAAATCTTAACAATAAAAAAGAATGAGCATTTAAAGGAAAAGTAATAATACTGTAGGATTTGAGTTTTCTAAAGCAGGTCGCAAACAATACAATATAATAACTTGACAAGAACAAAATTCATAACAGTGTCTTAATTTATGTTTCTTTTATCAGACAGCTAATATAATAAGGGGAGAGGTGGCATTGTGTTTAAAGTGTTTGCTTCTCAGTCTTGGGGTCGTGAGTTGGAGCCCTATTCGGTCGAGACAATGTTGCTTCACATAACAATAGCACTGGTTAGTTCCAGGAGGCTGACTCCATAAAGGTTCGCTAGCTTTCATCAAAATCGGAATTAAATATATATGTCTTTGTGTAAACTACAGGAACATGCACATTCTAGCTAGATATTCAAATATATTATCAAATCGAACTTTAATATATATCAATCATTATCTATTTAATAAGATATTCAAATTGTTTCGAAGAATTTAACATGCTAAATTTCCTGAATGGACTTAGCTAACCTTATTTTTCGATACAAGTTCATGGGTTTTCACCGTTGGTCAACCAATAGTACGTGGCAAAGGCTATTTAGTTACTTCGATTCTAACAGTCGTTTTTTAATGGGATACACGTAAAATGCATCACGTACGTGGTATGCATGTGAAATACATATCTTTTCTTCCTCAACATGAATCAGCATTTTTGTCAAAGGTAATGAAGACAATGTTTATGTTGCATATATCTAGACTGTACATGTACATTATTATACCCTATACTGAATAATAATGTTAATTAAATCGTCATTGTCATAACATGTTTTGATTTTTAAGTTTGATCTTTGGTACTATATTGACTGCCTATAACAAATATGTAAATATCAAAAGATAACCAAAAGTTAAAGATCTACGTCATTAAACAGTAGAATACGTCATTTCTAGCTAAGTTTTTTTTTAATACTGATCTAAGTACCTCTTTATTGTTTAATGGAAAATAAAAACAGTACAACGCGTTATAAAAGGGGGTCGATATATAAATTGTAAACAGGTGACGTATTCATTACATGTATACTACAAATAATAATGATATAAAAAAAATGAAAAAATAATGCTGTTGTAGATTTGTTACGTTTTAAAAATTATCCCTTCAGTATAAATAAAACACGTACCTTCTATAATTATATGTTTTTAATATTTGTATTCCAAATTATTTCCGAACATTCAACACCACAGTTTAGTTTGAATTTTTAGACTTTTAAATACTAAAGTTTGAAGTTTTTGTGCATGTCAGGTCTCTAAGATTCAATAAAAAAAGCATTTTAACATCACAAATTATATATAAAAAAAAGAAAGTCAAGAAGTTATGAAATTGCAGTAAATTAATACTAAATCAAAATTATGCTGACGTTTTAGAGGTCTTAGGTTGAAGTGGGTTTTGTCTAATTCTTGGATCAACGTATCCGGCACGTGTTGTGGTTTCCCAGCTGTTGTAAATACATTTGGATGAAGGACTATCTGTCTCAGGTTGGTGTCCCGGAAATGCATTTGGGTGTGGTGCTGACAATACAAGAAAATGATAAGAATAACATGTGACATTTGCAATACAAAAATAAAATATAAACAAGTTATCATACACATTATACAATTAACATGCGTTCGTGGCCGAGTGGTTATGGCTGTTCACTTCAAACCACTTGCTGCTCATCGCTGTGGGTTCGAATCCTGACAAGGACTTTGGAGTCTTTCATGTGAGTTAGCTTTCTTGCATATCAGACTGGCGTTTCCGTTAGTTTTACCCATGCCGGAAATTTCATCTGGCATGGGGGGTTCCAAATGAGTCGCGTGCTGTACAATGGCACGATAAAGATAATAATATCTGTCATATTTTGCGGTTCGGACCGGAATATCCGTCCCGAGGTGACTCGCCCATTGGGCGGTAACGAGGCTTGCCGAGTTACCGCCCATGGGCGGGTGACCGAGGGACGGATATTCCGATCCGAACCGCAAACATATGTCAGATATTTTTTCTTGCATATTCTACCATATTCCATTATATTTTAAATTCTTTATCTTTATTTTCAATGAAAATTTATATCATTACAACCGTAACTACTTTCATTCAACAGCGTATGAATTACAAAATCATTCACAACGGTAAAATGACGTCATCTTTATCGTGCCATTGTACAGCACGCGACTCATCTGGAACCCCCCATGCCAGATGAAATTTCCGGCATGGGTAAAACTAACGGAAACGCCAGTCTGATATGCAAGAAGACGTCGTTTTACCGTTATGAATGATTTTGTAATTCATACGCTGTTGAATGAAAGTCATTTCATGTCTCTAGACTGTATCTTTAAGAATTTTAGAATGTTCGAGCCATATATGAGACCTATAGAAACACGCACATTTGTCAGCTTTGCAAAGTGTGTATTTATACCGGTATGTAATAATTTAAGTGCACGTCGGATTATTTCAGACACTGTACATAAACATGTCAGGAAAGGTGGGACTGGGAAAGTATTCTAGTCATGGTAAAATGTTAATACTATTTGTTAGAGGATAAGTCAAAATAAATAAAAATATTTCTGAGACATTTACATGTGCATTTATAGTATAATTACATTATTCTATATATACTGGCGTAATATATATAATACTCACCTTTTAAATGTTTAAGTTCCTTTGGAACCTCGTATGGCTTGAAATTGTAGCTCTGATCATATGTGCTTTCAAAGTAATGATTATTCTGTGGTAAAAAAAGAAGACACACCCTGAGTAACTTATGTAAAGAAATTTGCACATTTTGAATGTTTCATTACCATTTTAACAAAAAAAAATTAAATAAATACAAATAATTATAAGCACCCACTGGTACCTGGTCAGACTGCATGCACAAAATTCGCAAGTTAACATTTCTACATGTACTGTAGATCTATATCTTTATTTTTAAAGTTCTGTTAATAGCCTGAGGTAAAAACAACTTAACAATACTTTAAAACAATCCAATTTGAAATACCCTGCAAACACTTATGAGAATCTATAATACAATTACCATTTACAATAGCCGGGCTCTTGAATTCCACGAATTTTGTAACATACGTGTTCTCTTATATATATATATACAGTATAGCCAAATACCGGTAATTATAAAAAAATATACAATTTCAGTATATGTATAAAGAGAAATTACAATATATTTTGTACTGTTGAAATTATTGCATTTTAAATACATTTGTTTGAAAAAATACTTGCCATAGATTTATATTTTACCTCGTAAATTATCGTTCTTAAAAATGACCTTAAAATTTGAACAAAACTTAAACTCTACTGCATCGGCGTGTTAAAAAGACAAAAATCCCTTTGCCAATCACAAATTTGCAAAATAGAAAACGACATATGGAGCTACGAATTATCAAAATGAACAGGGATATTTTTAGAACTAGAATCTACTGCATTAGTGTATAATTTGTAGAATTATCAATTAAGAAACCTCTCTCGTAAATAAATGATCGAGTTTCAACAGACAAATTTATTATACCAATTATAAAAAGACTATATGGTTTATATTATAACAAGACTGTACTGTATGGTATGAAAAAAAAACCTACCTGAGAAGGCAGTGGTTTCGCTTGCTTGACAATTTTATTGTCAAATCGTTCCTCATTCCAGTTACCAATCAAAGTGTCATTGCCGTACGAAGTTTCCTTATTTGTACATCTCCATCCAAATTGACTAAATTTAGCGGCGTCAGTAGAGTGAGTCCAGACTTCACCTAGACCACTTGCCCTGACCATTGCCTGGAACGACGGGTTATTGTCTAAATGCGACATATTTATTGACAAACTGCAGAAAACAAAATGCAATGTTTACATTTATCCGCAATGTGACAGAAACTTCCGGTTTAGGTGACGTAGCGTCCATAGAAACAGGAACGTCTGGTCACGTGATTAAGTTTAATGTCAAAGGGAGGCTATCATTATGATATACGTGTCTGCATAGTGATGTTTCAATTCACGGCCAGATGTGAAAAATTATAATGTTTACAAATTAACGCTTTAAAATGCAGCTTAAATTTCCAGAACGAAATTTCATTTTTATTTTCGTAAATCACACGAATTTAGCGCACAGAATATATATTTTTCTTCTGGCTATGTAGATAGGACGTAAAAATATGCATGCGTCTTTTAAAATTGTACTTTATTTGCTGTTGAACTACAGCTAATATTACAAAACTGATAATTTTAAAGTTTGAAAATAAATCTTTTGACGATTTAATTTTTAACGCAACGCTTGAGGCCAAATATTATCAAGAAACATCGACTTTTGGGAGGGCGCCATAATGTACACATATTCCATTGATTTTCTACTGATGCAGCTCAGCGTAAACAACCTTACGTGACCCAGAAAATATGGAGTGCCGGAGTAAAGCATAAATAAAACTTGCCTCTTTTGCATACTGATTGCGTGCCATTACTTTCCATGTTGGGAAAATGACCTTGAGGTCATCAAAAATAACGGGTTTTGATTGGTTGTAGTAAAACACATTCGCTCTATATTCTAAAAGTAGAACAATTTTGCTCTAACGGTTTCTGTCCAGTTTATAAGTTATTGTCGCTGCAAATCTGTGACAATATATTGCAAAATAAGAATATTATATCACTTTTCACTATGCACTGAAGAGTTTTGTTAAGAAAAGTCAAAAGAACACAAATTATGACACTTTGTTTAAAGGAGAATTGGTGGCCTTGAAGTCTATTTTTGTCTTTGCGCTGATTGGACAGTGTGATTCTCGTAATATCCAATCAGAGATGTAAGCAAAACAGTCTTTGTCACGTGGTTATACAGCACCAATTAACGCTTAGATATACACATCATTCACCAAGTATGGCCTAGTTAAAAATTTTACCGTGTAGTGTCCAGCAACGATTGTCATGACCCAAGAATCTTTTGAATATTTTAATGAGTGAGAATATTTCACAAAAACGTATCGATATTGTTTCCATGATATAAATAATAAAACTACACCCAAAGTATCTTTTAATTGCCGTATGCAAGGTGCCCGCTTATATAGGGCGAGCTCATTGTGTTAATTTGGGCCCCGGAAAAGTTTTACTTCGTAGATTACGCAGGCCTCGACGGCTGTTGGTGTACAACTGAATGCGTATAACAAACAAGAAAAGACATTTTGTGTAAAAAATGAGAAAAATTGGAGCTTTCTAATGAGAAGGACACATCCTATTCTATGCTAATAGGTAACTTAACAATTTTTCTATGAGTTTTTCATCACATTTTATCGTTCCTTTCTTTATTTATGTCATATTTTAACATTATTTGACGCCTCACCTAGCGCATCGAGGATTGTTCATGTACAAGGAATGTGAATTCGTGGGCTTACTAGGGCAAAATTGACAAAGATCATCATTTATAATATTCGTGTTGAATTTTACATTTGTTTAAGCCAATAAAGCTAGATTCTAAGTTTGATTTCATTAATACATTGGAATAAATATGTTTTCCTTCATAGTTGAAAATCTATTTTTGACACTGACCTAATATGTATATGTGATGAGTTAAGGTAAATTTGACATAGGTGCTATGGTGACAAACACATCTGTAATAAAAAGGCAAATTGTAAGTCAGGTTATACATACACTGTAACGCCTAGCTGATTGGAATCCCAGGCCCGGAATCCCACTGGAGTCCCCCCATAACATTAACAATTTGCTATCACTGCACATATGTCAATATTAATTTACACCCCCCCCCCCTCCTGCCCTACTAATGCGGTAAATATCATCAAACCCCTGTTAAAAGCTTGTCCGGGGCTGTCAGGAGTTTATAAAATTTTTAAATAAATGCTCTGCGATGCAAGTTGGATTTATCCCCTGCTATTTTGAGCTTGATGCAAGTCCAAACCACAACTTAAACAGGTGCATATCATCTCATTCCACCCACTATTCCATGCACTAACCTTTGGATGGTTGACTGGGATTACAGTCTACTATTGCTTGATGCCCTTATGGCTGAAGGGTTGCCAGGCATCAGAATTGCAGTCACTGTTTATCTCTGAATGATCATAAGAGGCGACTAAATGAGTTAAAATTACTGGAGGTAAGGTGGCTTTGGCCCCTGGTGTTGCTATAAGTTTGTAACACCAGAGCTTAGCCAAAATCACTTTTCCTGTTTCCGCGCCTTTTGACCTAAATTGAGTTATAAAAACCACTTAACAAACAGACTACTAGTACCCACCCATATCTTCCATCATAAACTAGCTTTAAATGGAAAAAAAAAGATATGTATAAGAAACATACATTATCTGTTAAGTCTTACAGAATTTTAAATTAGGTATGCCATTTAAAAGAGACATGACTGAACTTGACAAATGTGTTTTTTCCATCTAAACCTGAGATACATTATAGAAACTTGGTTAAAATTTCTATAATAAGCACAACACGTTGGTCACTATATATATATTGTGAATGTTAGTCCACTATGCAGCTACAAGTTTGTTTGTACCTGGAGATTATAAACCCCACATTTGATGAATTCAGGATAACATCTTTCATCCAACAATAAAAGATAAGTTAAAGATCTTTGAAATTAGAGAGTCATCATGATAGTCACTGTTTTGTCTGAGACAAATTTAGGTTTAATATCATTGAAGTCCATGAGCTGCATGTTATCTTGAAGAGGCCACTTTTTTATATACTATAACATGCCGATGTAATGAAGCAGAAAAGTTTTAATCTGCAGTGGGATTTGAACTTGCAAGGTCTTCTTTGTACTGCTTGTAGTCCAAAACTGTTATCACACAGCCTTCCCACTCAGCTTTCTAGAAACAGCATCCGATTAGTATTCCATGAATAGCTGGTTCAATTCTAATTCCTTGGACACTTGTCTCTTACCTTTGATCCAGAAATCATGTCAGATTAGTAGTCGGTCTAACAGTAAGTTAGGTGGTATATTTGCTATAGTTATCAAAGGTTGTTCATATATGATACAACCCGTCCGTACATTTTCCATGAATTTCCATGAAAACTTCTGGAATTTTCATGGAAATTGCCAACTCTGGATAATTCGGACTAGTTTTCCGGAGTTGTTCAAAGAAAACTGAAAAAAAAATCGTGAATTTTCATGTACTTTCTCCATGAATTTCCAGAGCTTTTTTCATAAAACTTTTCCGGAGTTTTCCATGAAAATGTTCCGGAGTCTTCAAAGCAACTCTGGAAATTGTTCTGCTAAAATGACATTCTACTCCGGAAAAAATGTTCCAGAGTGACTCTAGAAAATGTTCCGGAGTTACTCTGGAAAATGTTCCGGAGTTACTCTGGAAAATGTTCCGGAGTTACTCTGGAAAATGTTCCGGAGCCGCTGTGGAAAAAGTTCCGCAGTTAAAAATAGGATATGGGGTAAGATGCCATTAGCCTTGAAATAATTCTGGAAATACTATGGAATTCACTCTGGAACATTTTGGGATTACTGAAATGATGGTTGCATAATAAAATTAAATGACCTTTTAATTTGCATTTAATAAGTTTTTATTAGCATATCCAAAAAAGCACTCTAGTCATCAAGAATTCAAACACTTAATATAGTAATTTGCACATTTCACAATTATTTTGAAGTCAGAGTGTTTTATTCAAACAAATGTAATATAACATCCATCTAGAACACATGTATATTCTTCACTTCGCATGATGCAACATCTTCTTGACTTGTGGTGTGACATCTCTGATGGATACTGAAAAATATGAATTAATTGTATATAAATACAATGTACTTGTGTTATATGCACAATGTCAATATAATTAGTATTGTTTAAACAGGATTGATAAAAAACACAAAAGGGTGAAAAAAGTTAAGATGGAAAACTTTCAATTCAATGATTTTTGCAGAATATCAGCATAGAGTTATAAAGTAAATACCATGCTTTGATGAAAATATTTTTTTTTTGGTCAAAATCAACATTATGATAAACTTGTGTCAATTATTTCCCTGCTTTTCCTATAGCTATGTAATGACAACTTTATGTAATGGCAGTTTAAATTACTTAATGATCTTCACAAGTACTTAATTACCACTGAAAGTTTGAGATGTTTTCAGTGGAGTCAGTAAAACAATAATAAAATTATATGCATAAAACATGAAGAGCAACATTTTGTTCAGTGTTTGGAAAATAGCATGCATTTATATGAAAACATGTTACTTTGACTTTTTTCAACAAAACAAACTAAATTATTACCAGGATAGTTCTGTAAGCATTCTGTATTCAACAGTACATTTATTCATTTTCCCTGATCTGATATCCTTGAGAGGAAACATCTCATGTGATTCCAAGACTTGAAAGTTTGCAACCTAATATGTTGAAAAATAAACATATGTACATGAGTAACAAGAAATTACAATTAAGGCATATGAATTTTATTAAATGTGAATTTGGAAATTCATTGCTTGATATGGAATCTGTTTCAATCACAAATATTTTGAATGGAAAATTATAATCTCTGATTTAAAATTTCCCGCCATTATTCAAAAATGAAAAAGATTTTCTTAACTATTAATATTGTAAAGTTACATGTACATGTATGTAGAAATACAATCACTAAAACAGTGTATACTTGCAAAGAAAATTTGAAAAAACTAAAATAATAAGTGTTAAAAAATAAAAATACATTTGTACTTACTGTTAGAAATGGTTATATATACAATGATATACATGTAGTTCCCTCCATTTTCACTGAATCATGAAATACACATGTTTAAAAGTTCATATTTCCAGAAAACTTTTGTAAATTTGTCCAGTTTAAACTCATTTGATCTAATATCCAATGCTGGGACAAACATAATTTTTCAAGTTATAACTTTTAAGCAGTTAGTCACTTTTCAATGCTTTCTGTTCAAATGACCCGCCTGGAAGGAGTGTTCTGACCTGTGATTTGTTCTGCAAGGGTATTAAGTTACTTGGGAACTACAGTGTAATATAGTAGGTTGTAAACCTACTTTACCTCTTTCTATTCTCTTATATCAGATAGGTGAGTTTAACTTTGGTGTTTATGAAAACAGTTGGACTTCCACTTGAGGGGTCATAAATATTTACATTGTGGCTGATGCTGATTTGAATGTTCCAGAAATTTATCACTATACATAAGTTACCTCTACACAAGATGAATATATAGATAAAATAATTATATACTTCAATAAAGATACATAATAAATTTATCATTCAATTAATAAAGAAACATAAGTGCATAACAATAACATTTGTTCTTAAATTTAATTGTTTCTCTTTAATTGTGTATTTATTTTTTCCAACTAAGGGTAATATATAATAATGAACCTCTCAGATCTGAGGCTTGATATGAGATACCTTGAAAATAATGAGAGTTAAATGAAAAAATACTGAAATGCATTTTTAATGCCAAAGTATGGCAATGGAGTTGCATGTGTTTTTTTTTAATTTTTTTTTTTGCAATAAAAAAAGAAACAGTTGAGCTCTTGAGGGGCTTATGATGGTTTCATTTTGTTTAACTATAAGTGTTTATTTTGCTAACTGCTACTTTTAATTACAATGAGTACACATGTTGACCAATCTCAATGCTAAGTAATTAAATTCATTTGTTCTTGCTGTTCAACATTGTGTTAATGCCATATTTTAAATTGTCTTTTTTTCATAATGTCTTAAAACCAGAAAACTGTCTTATATTAAAAAAATTATTTATGACTACTTAGGAAAAAATATTTAAGTTAAATGTATTAAGTGAAGTATATGTAAATGCGGAAATAAAATGGAAATTTCCTATGTCCAAAACTTTCTAAAAAATGACTAAGTGTTTTCCAGAGTAAAACTCCTTGAAAATTGTCTAAGTGTTAACTTTCCAGAGTTTCCAGAACTGTTGCATGGTTATTTCTTTGATGAAAAAGTCAAGTTCCAGAGTTCTCCATGAAAATTGTTCCAGAGTACTCTGTAAATACTGTAGAAAAAAGCTTTTTTCCATGAAAATTCATGGAAATTCATGGAAAATCAGTTATTTTCCAGAGTTTTTCCAGAAAGACTGTGGAAAATCTACAGACGGGAAATCCCGAACACTGTTCCAGTACCTTAGTAATTTCTCTTGAAAGTCATTTAATGATGTATTAGATAAAAGTTATTTACAAAATGATTTAACCCATTACCCCATGAGCATTTTGTGTATCTTTGTATCTAATGTATCTTTTGGCTGGGGGGCCGCGCCGAAAAAGTGGTCACTTTTTT